GTAACGGCCATCACGGCCGAGCCCCGGTTAAGTTGTATTCAGCCTACCTAACTTACACCGGTGAGTGATGCTACTTAATTCACCCACCGATACCCAGGATGGTCCAGGCTAGGTGAAGACCCATCCTTGTCCTTTCAACCCAAGGTGAACCCTCCATGTGTATGCTCGGCATATTCGGAAGAAGCCCCTATTGACTCGACGGGAAAAAGTCGAGGAAGAGACGAAGATGGATCTCACCGATGTACCCTCAAAGCCATGCACCGTATGTGGTGTTTTTTCCCCCACCGAAATGTACCGCGGAAGGCATCGCGAGCTTTCACACTGGCTCAACCGAGAATGGCAATTTCGATCAGATTGATTTGGGCTTGTGACGCGCCGTGACAGGACGTGTCTGCTCCCCAGAGCATCCCCGGCAGAAAATTGTGGGGAGACAGAGGTGGCTATACACCGACCCCAAATCTTCCTGAGCCCTCACGGTGAATGGTTAGACTGCTCCCCAGAGCATCCCCGGCAGAAAATTGTGGGGAGACAGAGGTGGCTATACACCGACCCCAAATCTTCCTGAGCCCTCACGGTGAATGGTTAGACTGCTCCCCAGAGCATCCCCGGCAGAAAATTGTGGGGAGACAGAGGTGGCTATACACCGACCCCAAATCTTCCTGAGCCCTCACGGTGAATGGTTAGAACAGAGATAGAGTATGTTCGTTACTCAAAGAACGTCAAGTTGATGCATCTCCTGCCTCTCAATCCCTCAGCATTTTCGCACAAGTGTGCACCACTGTGCAATGGTATCCCGTAAGATACCGACGGGAAAATGAACTAGAGGTGGCCAGAACAAGGATTGTCGGGAATTATCGGACCCATCGGGACAGATAGTACGGCCGCGGCGCGAACGCGCCGACTTGATGGTAGGATTGGCATACAGGGACAAGCATCCGTAAAAGGCAACCCACAAAATGTGTGTGTGAAAGTTACCAAAAATTGTGTGTGTGCGAGCAAAAGTAATCAAAATGTGTGTGTGAAGCGGTAAAATCTTGTGTGTGTGTGTGAATATTAAATGTACAAATTGAACGTCATACGAATGCATCGTGAATAATGGGGAGGATGTACCGTGAAAATGGCCGGGTTTTTAGTGCGACATAGGGCAAAATGAAATAGTAAGTCGAAGGCAGAAAACTTGTCGTAAAGGTGGGCGGATAAACGAGTACCGAATACATCCATAGGAGCTAGCAGAAATTGGCGATAGATCAGAAGCTTATAACTGAAGCGTGTGTGAGCTTAAATTGAACAGCAGTTTGATGCAGCCGGGCGCGAGGCGATGATACTGAAACAGGTACATAAGTGCGAGTTTCTGCCGGGCAACGCCGCGGCCTACACCCCAAGTGGAAACCTCGGAAATCGGGGTAATCTGGCCAAATTGCCCTGAATGCGGGAAAGTTGGAAAGTCACTAGAAAATTTGGGGCAAATTTCCGAAGGAGGTTTTTCCTGATGTCCTCATATCACTTCCCACGGGGAACAGGCATGGAGATCCAGGGGCGGATGCGTTGAGAGAGAGATGCGCGGGATCCTGGCGACACGGCGGCGAGGTGGAAGCAAGAAACAAGCCACAAGCCTGTGCATGTTGTGCAACGCCGCCAAGAACAAACAAAGGCGGCTTGCTTCCGACGCTCATGATGTCATCGCCTTTCAGCTCAGAATTTCGCGCTTCAAAGGCCCCTCGTACTGGCTCGGTGGCGGACGGTCCGGTCCGTCTCTGTTATGCATGGTTTGTGAAACGAAGGGTTAAACTGTAGGCAGAAGCCGCCCGTTCGACTCGGGCCCGAGCCATGCCGTCCTTCTTCGAAGTTCTTTTTTGCAAACCCGGGGTCTGCAAACACTGGGCTACTCTCAGTGCGTTTCTCTTTCCTGGCTCGTGAGCACAGAGCTGAGAGCACGTTAAAACGCGGACTAAAACACGGGCACAAGCCGGAATTCAACGCTGAGTCAAGGCACGAATTAAAACCAACGATGTCCAGGTCTATGAGAGAGTGAAGTAAAATGAACAGCTGTAGGCCATGGCGGCTATCCCTCAGCGTTATGTTGCGCACAAACTCGAGGGACGTCTTCTGTCGCGCAGAAGAACCGAGAAAAACCAGGCGGATAGATCCAAAACCCGGGACTCACTAGTACTCACTCGGTGAGCGGCTGGATGCAGAGTGCGACATAGACCAGTGTGAAGTAGAGAGTAGTGTTGCCGGGGTTCGGTTCGGTGCGGTTCTTTCCTACTTTTTGCGAACCTCGAACCGAACCTGGGGTTCGGTGCGGTTCAGGTTCGGTTCAGGTTCGAACCTGAACGAACCATCAAAATTATCCAGTTTCCCCCAGCCATGTTTGGGGTGTCTAAATGATTGGAAAGCTACCTCACCGTGATTTCTGTGAGCAAAACCCTTCAATTCCACCCAACTCTGGCTCACAATCTCACTTTCTTTCCAAATTAGGTAATTTCAACCATCCTTCAACCTTCCTTTTTCAATTAAGACTCGCAAATTTGATGAGCATTCAAGCTATTGTGTGATTATTTGAACATATCCATGCAAATGGTTCCTCTGTAGCTTACTTTCTATCACAGGTTGAAGGTAAAACTCGCTCAAAGATGAAGTTTTTTGAGGCCCAGACTGTTGAGGTTCGAAAAGGTTCGAACCGGTTCGGCAAAATTGAGAATGCCCGAACCTCGAACCTCAATTGGGGTGCGGTTCAGGTTCGGTTCAGGTTCGGAATCGGTTCTGAACCGAACTCCGGCAACACTACTAGAGAGAGAAAGCCGTCGTAGGCCATGGAGGCCACCCCTCAATTATTTCTATTTTTCCTGAGGTTGAACGTGGGCAAACGGGGGTTCGATTCCTCCCGACGACATGAATTATTGTCTCCACTTTTTTCAGCACCGGTCCGGACTCCGCTCAGGACGAGTGAGACATGCTTTTACATAATATGGGACTGAAATGGACGAACACCTCCGGAATTGGCCCAAAGTGCCTAGATAACATCACTGGAGGGTAACTCGATTCCTCTCCACAGCATGCGTGGGGACCAAATATTCGCACTTTTTCTTAACCCGACCTCGATGGCAGATGCGGGCCCAAACTGGTCGGATTGAACTTGGATCGCACCGTAAGATCCAGTGCAACAGCTACTCCCACAAGTCCTCGTGGAGCGGAAGCTCGCCCTCTCCCGATTGTGAGTTACAGTCTTGAGCTTTTGAGGGAAACGGTGGTTCGACTCCACCCGTGGACATATTATGGCTTCCGTCAATTTTTGTTTTTTTGCCCCTTGCCTTGCTCTTGCCTACCGCAAATTCGGCGAGCATCAGCAAGTACGCCCGGCTCGATGGGAACAGGGAACAAACGAACAAGACCCATTCACGGACGACTGCACTGTGAATGTGTGACAGCGATCCACTTAATTCGCCCGTAGTATCGAAGGCGCCCCGTAAAATCCAGCGCAACACCTACTATTTCTCACAGCTAGTCCTACATGTCCACGTGGAGCACGGAAGCTCGCCCTCGTCCGATTATCAATTACTGTCGGATAGCTTTTGAGGGAGGCGGTGGTTCGAATCCACCCGCAGACATAGCCTATCTTCCCTCAGCTTTTTTGTTGCTCTCTTGGCTACTTTAAATACCAGGACGTAAGTACGGCCGACTCGATGGGAAAGGGAAAGGGACAAAAGGCACCCATTCACGGACGAAAATTGTCAATGGACTGTGGTAACGATCGATTTGTTTGATGGGAGTACCAAGGCGCACCGTGCAACACCTACCGTCGCTCACAGCTAGCTCTGCAGGTCCTCGTGGAGCATGGAAGCTCGCCCCCGCTAAATCAGTCCTTCGGTGGTTCAACCCCACCCGCGGCCTTGGGGTACATCGTATACGCCTCATCTTTTTCTTTCTTCCGGATAAAGTGCTCGGCTGAGCAGTACTCTGACGGATGCCCCGGGCGTTCTACCACCTTGCAATCGATCGACACTCGAAGCTGCGTGAGTGCAACAGCCTGAGCGCGTCCCCAGCCAATCGTGGATAACATCGAGAGTTTGAGGGAGGGTGGTTCGAATCCACCGGCGGCCATAAGGCATCTTCAGACACGTCTTTTTAGCAAGGAAGGGCTCAACTCACTGTGATCAAACCCTAGTTCTAACTTGTTGAAACCTACAGTACGAACAGTCAAAGATACTTGTGCAAGTCCGTGTAGAGCACGGACGCTCAGCCGCCCCCCATCGTGAAATATTGCGAGTTTGAGGGAGGATGTAATTCGAATCCACCTGCTTGCCACCCTCGGCCGTATGAGGTGATCAGCCAAGGAACGTGCTGGTTCACTGATGGTTCAGTAACGCTGAACAACAACAACGGTGGATGGACTTGAAGACCGCAACTTATTGAAACAGCCGCTGGCTGCAGAGTCAAGCAACCACATAAAGCAGTCTCACAGTGGGTGGGATTAACCGCAGTAGGCCACGAAGGCCAGGCCCAATCATTATCGACGGCATCTATCAGTTGAACGGGACGTTCGGGGGTTCGATTCCTCCCGACGGCATGGCTTGACCTTGGATCAAATCTTTTTCTCCCCGTGACGGGCTGATTTCCGGGGAAGGTTGGTTTTAGAGAAAGAAATCCCGGGCCGATATCAGACACCAAGCATGTCCAAGTGGGCTGACATCTTACAAGGAATCGGCTATAAACCAGTGTTAAAGTAGAGAAGGAACGTCGTCGTGGGCCACGGAGGCCGGCCCCACTCATTATCGCGTTGGACTCGTGAGCTTGAGCGGGATAACCGGGGGTTCGATTCCTCCCGACAACATTGGACCTTAGCAAGCGTTTTATTTGCTAGTTCCAGAGGAATGTGAGAGGTGTCCAAACTGTCTCACAAATGTGCGATGCCGGAGAAGAACCAGGCGGATAGACTCAAATCCCTGGACTCACCCGGCAGCCGCTGAATGCAGACTTCAGCATAACTCAGTGGTAGAGCAGCCGTCGTAGGCCACGGGGGCCAGTTCCGAAACTTGAGCAAAGGAAATACTGGACAGGAACAGACGCAGGTTCGATTCCTCCCGGCGGCATGGTACCATGTCCACAATCTTTTTTCTGCCATGTAAATTCTGAACGTATCGGTCTGCTAACGGCTCAACAGGAAAGGGAAAGAGACGTACGAGATCCATCCACGGACGATGAAAAGTACTGGTACTGTAGTAACGATCTATCTGTTTTGCTGGTAGCAGTATCCGAGGCGCACCGAAAAAAACCAACCTACCATCGCCCACAGATACTCCCACAAGTCCTCGTGGAGCACGGAAGCTCGCCCCCGCTAAATGAGTCCCTCCCATACTGGCTCGGGGGAGGAGGTGGTTCGACTCCACCCGCGGCGATAAAATGGCTGCCAGCCTCCTCCAACCCTTTTTTCAAACAAATGCTCGCCGCACACCCAGTTCTTGCACTCTTGCCATCGGCAGCCTAAGATGGGTGTAAGTCCGTGTAGAGCACAGACGCTCACCCTCACCCAATTGTTCATGATAGCAGTATGTTGAGAGAGAAGGTGGTTCGATTCCACCAGCGGCCATGCTACAGATGTCAACTCCTTTTTTTTCGGAAGAAACGACTCTGTCTGTTCTCGAGACCTATTTCGAAGAAGAGGAGAAGATTATGCGAAGACCTTTGAAAATTGCTCACCACGCACCGTAAAATCCACGATCCAGTGGAACACCTACCCGCGCTCACGGCTACTCTTACAAGTCCGCGTGGAGCACGGACGCTCGCCCCCACCCAATGATCGTTGCACATGAGCGTTTCGGGCAGCCGGTGGTTCGACCCCACCCGTGGACATGAAGGTCGTATGTGATCCCTTTCTTTTTAGCAAGAAGGATGTAAATTGCAATCGTCGACTCTCTAATGAACGCGCGAAAATTGAGTGATACAGGTCCGCGTAGAGCACGGAAGCTCGTCCTCACCCAATGTTCTTAGTCTCTGGTAGACCATTATTTCGGGGGAGCCGGTGGTTCGACTCCACCCGCGGCCATGTGCGATGTGCAAAGGATCTTTCGGCTCCTTTTTCTCTTGAACGTTCTGAATTCGGCTTTTCCCACAATTGCAACCCTCAGATTATAAGGTATAACGCCAACGAGGACGGGCTATTCGCAGCGAGGCGCAGCAACACACGAATTGAAGATCGGAACGCCGTCAAGGCGCACACGCATGATCGAGACTCGGGCGCTCGTCGAGACTCGATGCAGAACGGGAGCAGGGACATGCGCATCGGACAAGATTAGAGCGGCGGAGGCCAAAGACAGCAGATACAACACGGAAGACAACGACAATGCCATGAAACAGGCGTGCAAACGTTGAAGAGCGCAGATAGATCCAGACAAGCCAAATGCGTTGGCGTTCTGACCGTTCCATTCGAGTCGTCAAGTCAAGAATTCAGTCAAGTCGTCAAGAAGTCCATTCCAATCCAAATGCAAGAGATTACGGTAGAGACAGAAATACGGGTGGGGATATGCGAAGAATCCAGATGCGATGCGGGCGGGAAGGCGATGCGAGCGGGGAGGGTGGAGATGCGGACAGGGACGTGTCGAGAGTCGTGCGTCCTGAGTCGAGAGTGGAGTCGTGAACGTAGCAGAAAGGACTAGGCGCCAGGAAGGCGTTGGAGTGAAGGAGCCGATTCACGCACAGCAAGCAAGCGAGACGATTGCCCAGTGTCGACGTCCAGAAATAGCGCAAGTCGGACTCCACGAATACCCCGATGCCACGCCCGTCGCCCGGTATCCCCACGCCTAGTATCCCCAACCTCCCCAACCCCCGGTATCCCCACACCGACCGCATCTCCACCCCACCTCGGTCCTCGGCGCCGACGACGCCGACTACAACACAACCAACGCACCCATCAACATCCCCGCGCCCATCACGGCAAGCGGGAGCAGCGGCACACATACGCCCAGTCCCACGCCGCGCACGGCAGCGGCCGCATTCGACGTCCCTGCACCCGAGCTTGAGCTCGTCGGCGGGGCCGTCTGACTCGCACTACTCCCGGTCCCACTCCCGCTGCTACTCCCACTTGCACTCCCACTCTTGGATGAAGAAGAAGTGGAAAGGGACGACGGTGTGGCGGATGGGTTGAAAGAAGCGAAAGAAAGGCTCGTCGGCGTCGCCGCGGCCGCACAGAACTGTTCCACCAGCGCTTCGGCGGAGGCGACTTCGGAGGGGCAGGCGGTGAGGCAGGTTAGGAAGGTAGAGGTGTAGTTTTTGGTCTGTGTTACGGGGGTTAGGAAGAGTAGCAAAGATGAGGAAAAGAGGGTTGAAAGGGCAAGGAAAGGAAGAAGGGGGAAGGAAGGAATAAAAGGGAGGTAAAACGCACTGCGGACAAAAACAATCCACCGCTGCGACGCTCTCGCACCCGTCCGCGCTTGCGGCCATCGCTAGGCAGTTCGTCACTGTACGCATTCATCGTAAGGATACCATTTCTCATCGCCGTCCCTTCTTCGTCTCTCGGGGAAGGGAAGGGAAAGGGGGGAGGAGAGAGGAGGACGCACCACACGACGACACCCCGCTCAAACTGGGCAACGCAGCGCTGTTACTCGGCGTGCCGATAGGGTTGCTCCCGCTCACACTACTCCCACTCGCACTACCACTAACGGACGCGGAAGCGGATGCAGCGGATCTTGAAGACGATTGCGCGCTGGCGCTGAGCGCTGCCAGCGCAGCGAGTAGGACCGGGTGGGCGTGCATCTTCTTGCTGGACGTTCTCAGTAGAGTGTGGAGGAGAGGCGAGGAAGTAGACGCACCAGGGAGACGGAGCGTGGGTGGGTGGGTGGATGAAGGAAGAAAACAAGAGCAAGGAGGAGGCGGCGGGGTAAACACGCCACGCTCGCTTATTGTGCTGAGCCTCAGGCGTCAGGCCTCACGCCCAGTGAGAATACCAGCTAGACAGATTGAGCCGGAATGAGTCAGATCGAAAACCCACCAAACGTCTCAATCTGCCTCAAGATTCTGGCCATATCTCAATGTGTCTAGATGACCAATGAATGAGAATGATATACATTGAGCCACAACGAGAATGTAATGAGCCACAGTGAACGACATCTACGTATGCATTATTGACCGCGCGCCTGCTGCCCGCGCCCCCCTGCTGCCCGCGCCCGCTCCCGCCTGCTGCCCGCTCCCGCCTGCTGCCCACTACCGCCTGCTGCCCACTCCCGCCTGCTGCCCGCTCCCGCCTGCTGCCCACTACCGCCTGCTCGTCCCTGCTGCCCGCCGCCGCTCGCTACCGCCTGCTCGCCGCTCCCGTCCTTCAGCCCCTCCTGCCCCCGACCACGGCAAACTCATCACTCCTGTGGTGTGTTGTTTTGCGTCGTTTTCTCGGCCTTTTTTGCTGCCCCGAGCTCGGCACTTTTAGTTATGAAGACCTGAATAAAATTGTAAGTAACAACAACCTCAGAATGGACGATGCACAGACCTGTTTGGACTCGGCAGAGAGGCCATTGTAGTATAGATCGAAGACCTCCTTTGTAACGCGTCCCCTCTTGTTGACATAATCTGCTAAACAGAGGTTTCTTTATGGAAACGGGATGAGTTCGGCACGACGACAAAGCTGAAGTATACGACTCACCGCGCTGTTATGCTGCTTGAGGTAGGTCGCAAGTAGTTAACCTTCGTAGAGGGACGTTTGCCTAGGAATACTGGTCAGTGACAGACCAGAGAGAACGAGTGAGCTTACCCTTCGGATCAGCCAGTAAATTAGACACATAGTCGCCCCTCGCCGTGGGGCCCATGGGATTCCCGAGTGCAGCGCTAAAAAGAAATTAGTGGTGTACCGACGATGGAATGGAAGACGTACAGCGGATTGTCGACCTGCAAAGAGCCGCCATCCATAAGTGCTTCGACATGAGATATGACTGCTAATCATACCTGAGTAGCTGGTGCGGGCACTGGTGTCGTTGATGGAAGAGCGTGGGCCGGAGGTGCTTCTGTCGCAGGAGCATCGAGGGATTCCTTCGCAGTGGATGCAGTCGCAGGAGGGAAAACGGTGTTTGGAGGGATGGCGAGACTTGATGTACTAGCGACGTCGGTGCGCACGGAGGCAGTGTCGAGGACGAAAGAGGGCGTTGAGGAAGCCGGGGTCGAAGGAGATACGAGAGGAGCAGGAGGGGACAGCACGGGAGCGGGCACAGAGTCTGAAGGGGTAGGTACACCGTTTGCAACGCTTGTGACAGGGTCGACGGCTGTCGACGGATCTTCGATGCGCGAGGCAGCGGCCGGGGCAGGGGCATTGGCGGCGGCTTTGTGTTTTTTGGAGACCTTCTTGTTGCGTTTCGGATCGGGCTCCTCCGCCACTGGTTGCGACGCTTGCCGCTTGTGTTCGGAAAGGATGCGTGCCGCATCGTCGTCGGTGTCGTTTGGATCGGGTTTGGCAGTCGTATGAAGCGTGTTCTTCTTGATTTGAGAGCTGTACCAGCCCGGGTATACAAGGGTGGCGATGCGGTGGGCCTTGCAACTGTACTCGCACAGGCGGAGCTCGGGAAACGTCAGCTCCATCTCGTACGCAAAAAACTCGCGTAGAACGGAGTCAGCTTCGCTCCAAGTCGGAGGCATAGCTCGCTCGAGCTGCGCGGTAGCCCAGATGCCGCGTGCCTTCTTCCTCGCCTCGGTACCCCACGATCCCGGTACCGTTTCTCCATGCTTGTCCGTCACGAACCAGAGCTGCACGTTCTCGTCGTCCTCGGCTAATCGTTTGGATCCGCGGCTGCTTTTGGCATCTTGCATGGTAACAGGACCCTTGGCTTTCTTGCGTTCGGAGCACTCCTCGAGGTACTCCTTATCGGTCCAGATCGGCACCTCAGGAAAGTCTTTCTTGCTGAGGGGTTCGTGCGTACGGAGCATTTTCACGGTAGCTTCCCCGATGGTGGAAGCATCGAGTTTCGATGCGACTGCTGTGGTTAGCTCAGAGAAATTGGACCTGGAACGAATATTCAGTACGGACGCGAAGTTTTGGTGGTGAGCACGTACTGCAACGTCTCGTAGCGTATTTTGAGCTCAGAATAGGCCACTGTTAACGTTTCCAGCCGCTGGC